GCTGGGCGCAGCGTCCCCCGGCCCGGAAGCGACTGCCTTCCGCTTCCGGGTCGCTCTGCCTCCCTAGCGACCACGGGCACTTCCGCCTGGCAACTGCGGCCGCCCCGCTCCCCGCGCAGGGCAGACGAACCCCCACGGAGAAACGCGCGCGCAAGGTTGTGTGCGGTTCCAAGCCGCCGTGTGTCCGAATATGTGTGCGTGTGTTTGAACTTCAGCCAACGGTTGCGACAGCGACACTGGTTGTTTCTTCCTCTCCCTCTCGGTTTTTAAAGAGCATTTCGTATCCCCGAATAAAGACAATTGCGGTATGAAAATCTTGGTAGGTGCTGATTCCTTTTGCCGAACGGAGTGTGTGGGGTTAAAATGGAGGAAATGTCTACCAGTTTCAGGGTGAGGGTTACAGAAGTGACGACTGACGGGGAAGCTGTGCAGCTGAGGCGGGGAGGCCCGTCGGGAGATCCCCGGGGTCCCCTGCTCCTGCAGGGTCATCCACGATGGCTGCCCTGGGCTGCATCCCATCGGGTCTTGAGTATCTGTGTGAGTCTTGAATATCTTGAATATCTAATACTCTGTGATCTCAATGGACAGAGGCTCCACAACCCCTCTGGGCAACCTGTGCCAGGTTGGAGTTTAAAGCAAAAAATTTTATAAAAACGGACTGTTACCCAAGTAACACACCGCTTTGGCTGTAAGAACCCCCACCGCCCCGGACACACAGAAGCTGCCGTGGGGGTGTTTCCTCAGGGTCCTCCTGCAGACAGCCACAGCCACTGCCCTGGTGGTCCGTTGGGGTCTGCTCTGCCCCGTGCCAGCTACCCACCACCCCCCACAGCGGGGCTCAGCAGCAGTAGAAGAACGGGTAGCGGGACTGTTGCTGGCTCGCACTCTGTGCATGGCACCCAAAGATAGCTGCTCTAGCAGGGCTTGTGTGCTCCAAGGTCCCATCTCTGAGTGCCGTCTGTCCACAGATGGGGAGTCAGCCCTGGAAGAAATGGCTCTGCAACAGTAGAAATGCATCGTGCCATCTCAAAGGTCTGCACCTCTCAGATGCTCTCTGTCTTGAAGTGAAAGTGCCCATCTTCCACCACTCATTTTTTAGAGGGATATTACCGAAATACTGGGTCAATAACTCTAAGACAAATTTGTAGGTATTAGAAAGCAAGGCATTCTTTTATTGCAGCGCTGGGCGCACATACGAATCTGTGCTTACACGAGGCGGGAAGTTGCGAGCCGTTGGCAGAGCGCAGACTCCCCGGCCGCCCAGCGCTGCCTTTGCTCTTGTTCGCTTGCTAATATAATAAAATTTGCATTGGATTTTGACACTTTAAATTGTCCGTGTCTCTACCTATCACATCGCTTTGCAAAGGTGAGCGTGCCCCAAGGTAGGGAGTGGTATTCTATATACAGTGAAATGGTACATACTCATTATTTTCCCGAGAAGTGATTAACATATACATTGTTTTTCCTGGAACTCATGAATAGATTTACATGTCCTTCCCGCATGCACATTTATGTTGAATGGTGGTCTCAAGGGGTCCTCTGGTGGTCATTGATAGTCTTCCTCACCGCGCCCGCTGGTTGACCTCAGTACTTGCGCATGCTCACAGGGGTCTTCCAGCTGGCTTGCAGTTTGTTCTGGTCCTGCTCTGTTTATCTCCAAGGACAAGGTCTTATTTGGCACATTTATTACTTCCCTGTCTTCCAGCTTCCTTTGCCTCACACCAGTGCTATCCTCCAGCTGTGTTTGTGCAATTCTCAGGATTCCTTCGAGGTCTTACTCTATTCTCGTTATCTATTCCACTCTTTTAGCTTACAGGGGGACTGCAAAAGGATGCCTGACTGTGTGCTCGAGAGGAATGGTCATGGAATCTGCACCAGTCCCAACAGAACTACATACGTCAGCAGCTGGAAAAATGACAAGGTAACTTTAAGTATTCCTTCGTTTTAAGCTTTCTCTGGGTTTGGAATGGAGCATGTCTCACTATATCCACTATATCCACCTTTAAAAAGACACAGAAAGGAAAGTCCGAATCACACCAGTCACTGCTGGCAGGCAGGCCCTGGTGGAACACCTGGGCAGTGTGGTGCTGGTGGTGCCCAGCGCGGCACAGCCATCATGAAAGCTTTGCATGAATGGGCTGTGCACAGATAGCGGGCTAGGCATGGCCCTTCTGCACGTGTACATACGCCACACACATATCCCACAGTGAAGCAGGGGAGCTCTGGTCATCGACAGACACGCTGTTGCTTGGCTGCCCTTGGTTACTGAGTTTCTCAGGAATGAATTAGTAAGCATAGGAAAATTGTGTCTTTTGTTGATGCTGGAGAGAAGATAGTCTTTGAAACAAGACAAATAAGGGTCTGCAATTAGGAAACAGCATCTTATGACTTTGTTAGATCTAGTCTGGACTTTCTTTTCAGTCTCTTACAAAAACATTGGTGCAATGATAGGAATTAAGATTATAGCACAGAAGTGCTTTACAGCACAGAATTAAATCCCCAGGCATGGCTTAGTGGCCTAGGCTGAACAAATTAAAGACTCTGCCTTGATCCACAGAAAGAAATTCCTGAAAATGTAATTAACCCCTCAGGGTAGATGAGTTACTTGCAGGGCTGGGCACAGCGGTTCCATGCTGCATAGATTGTTAAGATCCTGTGAGACTACCAGCAGAAGAGGCGTTTATTGAGCACTGTGGCTGGCCAAAAACTTCTAAGCTGTTACCTGAAATCCTTGTAGAGGCAGGAACCAGTCTAGATCTGAAAGAACAGTCACTTTCCTCTCCAGTACTGTAGCTGAATATGATAGCAGACTCAACAGCAGTGATCTGAAAGGATATTGTAATGAAAGGAAATAAGCATAAACATTAAGCATTTTCTTTATCCTTCGCCTCTCATTAAATGCTGATGAACTGTACTGGAAGGCTAGAACATCCTTCTGGGAGAGTTTATGCAGGCGAATTCAAAACCATGTTACATGGGGCTGGAACCTACACATTTCCAAATGGAGCAAAGTACATCGGACCGTTCAATGAAAACAAGTATGTTTGGAGTGGAAGACTTGTGTAGTCTTTTCTATTAGTTTTGATTTCATGAGCTGTAAAGTCCAAATAAAATTCACCCAGCATGGGAGTAGGTTTCTTTTGCTACCAGTGAAACTTGCACTGGGTACCTGAGATTGCTGATCCCAGATGTATACTTTTCATGAGATCAGTCAAAACTCTGTGATTCACTCAGTCAGAAGTTTTCAAGATGATTATTCCACACACCCACTTTTTGTTACCAGGTCTCTGGGCTCAGGCAGAGTTCAGAGAAATAGAACAGTTCAGACCCCTTTCAGAGCTGTTATTTCAAGCTGAGTGCCTACATATGCATGCAGAAATACAGCACTGATATTTTGCAAAATTTGTGTTTACTTATTTTTTGAAATAAAGTGCAAATTTCAGGGAGATGGGAAAATGTGGAGGTTTATTTTCATCACTTGAAATAAAATATTTTAGTGCCACTCATATAAACATATAAGTTGAGTTCATTTCTTTTGAATAAGGGTGTGTGTTTTGAATTGCTAAGATACCATCTTCCCCTAAAACGCAAAGTTGATACCCACTTCATAATGCACAAAGCAGATTTAATGAGAAAATTAACCACAAAAAATGACACGATAACATTCATGCGTATTCTCCTTAAATGACTTCTCTGTCAAATTTGCTGGGTTCGATTTAGGTTTAATTTTTCTTTAAGTACCTCCCCAGACCAGTACCTGAAATAAATCGAAAAAAATGTATGTTTGTTCATATCTGGTCTTTCATCAGAAAAAAATCTCCGTCTTGCCCTGCTGACCAACAGCCACAACAGTGCTAGAATGATGACCAATTCTATTTTTAAATGATCAGACACCAAGTGAAATACATGTTACAGAATGTACCTGGATACAAAATGGTAACCTGTATGACAAACTCAAATGTCTGGGGAAAAATTAAAGATGTTTATTTCAAGGCTGTGGGACACATTGAGTTAAGTTATGCCTCTGTTACAGTGGCATGTTAAAATCTGCGACAGAGCTTCTGTCTTTTGCTGCCGTATTAAATGATAGATGTGAATTTTGCATGAAGTCTAAACCTTTGAGTTCTCATCACTTCAGTGAGGGCATTCAGCCGTAGATCACGTATGTAGCTTTATAGGCCTTTCCTCTCAAAAATCTTAAGGTGATGCCTCTACTCTCCTTTGAAAACACAGCCCGTCGCAAAGGGCCCAGCACAGTGCTCATCACTATAGCTGATCTGTAGAGAAAACCAGCTGGTTATGACTTGACCTTGTGACTTCAACTAACTGAAATGCTGATGTAGATACACCCTTGGTAGCAGAGATCCAACCTTTGCCAGCCACCGCCGTTTTCACTAGGGAGTTAAGACCTCGTTTTTGACACTGGTTTGTGGCTATTAATATGTGCCACTCCCTGATAGCCCAATGCAGGCTATTTTGCCAAGTTTCAGGATTGCTGGTTTCCACCTACTTACATGAGGTAGGTGTCAGTTCACCAGATCACTGAGGCTTTCATGAAAGAACACAAATAGGCAGCACCATAGCAACTTGCTGTGACTGCTCGGTGGCTTCATTTTTTAAGGGAAACAAATTTCCAGTAACAGATTTTAAAAGTTATTTTCCCTTTATTTGCAAGGGATGCTGATGCAGACATTTATTCTTTATAGCAGTTTTCAGGTATAATTATAAGCTTGATCACAGCTTTCAAAGATCAGTAGAAATACGTGGTTTATGAGGACTGAAGACACACAGCAGTTGTACTTTTTTTTTTCCCCGCAGGAGGCTGTAAATCCTTGCACTTTGTCACAACAGCACATAGCAGGATGGGGAAACGGTAAGAGAGGATGGATTTTTACAGGAAGATCACACAGTAACTGGCTGCATGCACTTACACATCTTTAAGACGCCCCTGATGAAAGTCAGGATAAACTTCTAGGACTTAATTCAATGACTCAAATCATGACTGGGACTAAGAATTTTTTCCTGTAGAGGCTACATGTGGGAGGATGTTAGTATAAATACAGTTTTGCAGAGAAAGGAATATGTTCCTTGGCTGTCTAACCTGTGTACTTTGTAGGTCAAAACTTTTACAGGCTACAATGTGGGAGAAATGTAAGGCAGGTACTTACACCACTGGGAAGGTTCTGATTCCTGGCAATTTGCTTATCGGAGTAGTGCATACATCACCGTGCTGTCACAAACTGATTGCATTCCCAACAGGCTGGATTTATGTCATTACAGGATGGAAGGTGAAGGAGACATTATAGATGAAAATAAGAGTGCAGTGGCACATTTCATGGCTCGGCAGCAGAGGGACTGAAGCAGAAGTGCGGAAGTTGAAAATGTAGCTATTTGGCACGGGCAGTAGCATGAGTTAAAGTCAGCTCTCAGATTGCATTCTGGCCTCAACAACTGTGACCAGTTTTCAACAAGCATTGATTGCTTCATGTATTTAATAGAAATAACCCCTGAGGATGCATGTCAATAGTAAAAAAAATGAAGTTCTTCTTCTTTTTGGTCTGATCAGCTGAAGTCTCGTAAGTGAAAACCTTAAAGAAATCAAGCTGGATCCAGTGAATTTGTAAGTGGAGCAGCTGATGGCTCGAATTATCTTTTTAAATTTATTTTAACTTGGCCTAGGAATGTCTTTTTCTCCCTGAGTTTCAAAAAAACCTGTCGTCAACAAATGAAGCCTAATTTATGCCCAACTTTTGTAACTTTCCCCAGAAAACAAACCTCACCACCCACAGAAGCTTTTGCAAATGCAGTGCTGGTATGATCGTATTTACCCTAAGCTGGGTGTTGCATAGTGGGATTAGGACAGAAAGCAGGTGCAGCTGTAATGTAGCAGATACTGCTTATGCTCAAGCCCAGAAACCCCAGGCTCCGGTACCAGACTGCTCAAGGACAGACCTCTGCCATACACCAAAGCTGCTTTTCTCTGGGAGGGGATGTAGAGGAGAGAGTGCACAGGGGAGACTGATTGCTGCCACTGTCTCATCAGGAAGTCTAATGCAATGAAAAATCTATTTCTACTTTTGTTTGTGTTTGGTCATCAAAGGTCTTGGCACTATGAATTTAAATACTTTGCTTTACAAAGTAGAAAACCTGCTTTCTAGTTTTTTTTTAAAAAAAAACCCAACACAACATACCAGTGCTGTCAGGAAAAAATGTGTGTCAAGTCTTTGCTTGCCACATATTTAATGGAGTTTTAGTAAATACTTGTCCTTGCCTCCATTTGCAGACACAATATGCAAATGCTGTTCCTTCAGATGTGCCTTCGAATATTCAGCTCATTTCGCTAGGATTCAGAAAAATCTTGGGCCCTGTGGTTTATTAGCAAAATGAACAAACAGCACATTATCAGCAGACTGAAACATGCTGGGCCATATGAAACAAAGCAGCTCATGGATCATTTGGCAATATGACGCGTTTCGGCCCTTCTTCTTAAAGCTGCCTGGAATAAAATATGTATTTGAAATGTTTTGTTCATGGATTCATGAAGCTAAATGTTTTTATTTATTTAAAAAAAAAAATCTTTCCTAGATTGAGCTGTTTGTTGAACTTGCAGGTATCTTTGACCCACCAAAAAAGCACTCGTTCAGAATCATAATTTCATTTTATTCAGTTTTTCTTGTGTTTTGTTTCTGAAATAGCCAGCTCCAAAAAAGAAATACAGTGTCCTTGGACCCTAGTCTTGGGCTTCAGAGGTAGCAGCATCTTCCACAGAGCTGCTGTTAATCTATGAGCCTGTCCTTTCAGCTCCTTTGGTAGGACTCCACCAAATTTATCTGCGCTGCACAGCAATTATACTGGTTTAGGCTGTGCAGTTTTACATTTCAGGTTTTCTGCCTGAAGGGTGTCTTTAAAGCAGATCTTTGTCTTTCAGGGAGAAATTAGTCTGCCTTTTGTTACTGTTCCTCCTCCTTTATGTCCCCCTGCTCTTACGCTTCTGAGTAACTCACTGGACGGGCTCAGACATTTTCCTGACACCCCTGGCCTTGGGTTACTTGCATTCTCCCCATGCTTCCTCAATGCCGTTTGGACTAAAAAGCCCTGCAGGACCTTAGTGAAGAAATGGAGCAGATGTGGAGGGCTGCTGCCTCTTGCTCTCCCAACTACCTCTGTTTGTTTTCACTCAAAAAATTTTTTGTGATCTCACAAGCAATAGAAAATACACAAGTGCTGGTGGATGCTGTTCCCCTGCCATGGCTACTTTGGCAACCTTGCTGTCGGCCCCTGAATGAAAGAAGGGGAGCCCTCTTGACCCTTGCATCCCTAGTGAGGCCAGGCATGGTAGGAGACCGAGGGTGTCAGAGAAAGCAGGAGGAGCTGGTACTATCTCCCTGACCCCAGCTACAGGCTGCCTCACTTCAGGTGCCGCAGGAGGTACTTAAGAGCCTCTGAGCTTGGCGAAGTAGCAAAGACCACATCAGCACCCAGCTCTCACCACATGGCCCCCCTCTGCCCATCACTTCACAAGGCTTCTCGCCCTCCCTTTGCAGCAGTGTGCAATTCTAATTAAAAAGGAAAAAAGTCGGTATTGTCTTCCTCCAAGTGCACAGTCCTGATTTTTGCATGGGGATGCAAGGATCTGACCCGAAGATTACATAATTAAGAAGGCATTTGTTATGCTTGCGTTTCAAATCAGTGATTAGCATGTGACAGTCCCATCCTGGGAAATGTCAAGCCACCATTGCTCTCCTCTCTGCTTTCTTGCACAGTGCTAATTCCCAACTCTAGCAACCAGCAGTGCTGAAGGATCTTCAACTAGCCTGGGGTAAGTTTAAAATGTACTCGGCATGGCATGAAGAGTGGGATTAATAATACCATTTTTCATATTACTGGAAAAAGCTAGAGCTGTAGCGATTTAATGTTTCATGTGCAGCACATAAAATGGTATTTAAAATATTTTGCGTCTTCAGTACCCACAGTTATTTCCAGCTGATTTCTTCTAAGACTGTGTGTGGAGATGTAGCTTCTTAGTGTGCTGGAGAATCTTGTGTGGCTGCATTTATAGGAAGGTCTCTAAAATACCAGGTTAAAAAGACCTTTTTCACTCTTACCATTTAAGAGCTAAATTGAGGTATCATGCTGAATTTGAATGACAACTGCATTAGTTAGCTGGAGACAAAAAGCAAGAATGATGAGAGTAAATAATTGATTTTTTTGCTCTCTTTAGAGGACTGGGGGTTGTTCTCCAAGTGGGATATTTAAAACAGTCAGCAATCAGCCAGCAGGATTGAGAGAGTCACCAGGAAAATCCCAAGCATTTATTTAGGAAAATTGTGGATGTTTACAACTGAAGCAGCAAAAGTGCATATGGATTCCCCTGCACTGTTATCCATGTCATGATTTCAGAAGCAGAATGGGACAGAAAGCCCAACAAATAGTAACTGTTGTCCATGAAGGCTAGGCTGTAAATGCTTTACTGAACTCTGCCTGTTTGCGTGCTGATGCTTGGAGTATTCGGTCAGTCTTTTTAACAAATGGTCCTCTGCACAGTTGATTGTTTCTCCCGATTATGCCATTCCATGTTGGTGGAGCACTGCAGTGCAGGCTGCAGGACCTACCTCCCCTCCTTCCCACATGCACAGATTTGTGCAGGAATCCTGCCCTTGTGCTGCCTCAGTGACACCTCGCTCCAGTCTTTGACCCTGTGCCTGGGGCATAGCTAAAGAAGGCAACACACTGGGAACTCCCCATCCATCCACACCTTCTCCCTTGGGGATCTCATGGGAAGCAGGTGCCAGCTCAGGCTCTGTTAACTCCTACACACTGCCCGCTCTGCTCTGGGGGTGCTGCAGCACCAGCTGCTCGTGCAAGGCACCAGGGCAGTATTCTTTGCTGGGCACCAGTCTCCAGAATAAATGGCGACCACTAATGGCAGAGGTGGCACTCAGCTTTGGTTTTTGGGCTCTGCAGATTCGGCTGCTGGAAGGAAGGTAGAAACAAAAGGGGAAAATACTTCCTTTTGCCTCAATGGAGGAATCTGGTGGCTTTAACACCCTGAAACTATTCTCTGGGCTTTGCTCTGGAGATGTCATTTTGGCTTGGTGAGAGCTGCTGGAGGGTAAATGAGTTTTAATGCTCAGCTCTGAAGAAACAAGCATATCTTTACCATTTCTTGTCCCTAAAGCAGGGGGGCCATGGGCTTGGGTTGCAGGCCAAGACAGTCTGCTAATGGCTTCATGTGACTGGCTGTTGAGCCTGTCCAGTGGGTAGGTTGCAAAGGAACAGTAACATCTCCTCGTTGATGAAGAAACTACCCTGTGGTGGGCTGGCGTGTCAGGCAAACCTTAAATTTGCTGTGGGTGGAGACCTGACTCTGGTTTAGGAAAGCAGTCTCATGGAGGGCTTGCTCTTGCTGCTAATGTGCACATGCATTCATGTATGTGCATATGGGAAGGGGTTAAGGGTGTGGGGCTTGTTCAGTGCTGAGAAAATAAGGTGAAGAGGGGATTCTCTTGCAACTTTTAACTGTCTCAAGGGGGCTATAAAGCAGAGGGAGTCCAGATTCTTCACAGAGGTGCACAGTGAAAGGCAATGTGCTGCAGCAAGGGGAAACCCCAACTGGACCTAAGGAAAAATATTCTTCCCCAGGGTACTGGAGGGCCCAGGGAGGCTGTGAAGACTCCAGTGTGGGAAACAGCCAGACCTGAGCTGAACACAGCCCTGAGGAACCTGATCTATTTTGGAGTTAGACTTGCTTTGAGCAGGAGGTTGGACTAGAGACATACAAGTGTTCCTACTCACCTAGACTCTGCTGTGAGCTTCTGACTTGTTCGCTGCCAGCAGAGGCGGGATTTGACCAAGCAGCCCACATCCAGGGTCTTAGGGCCAAATGTCAGTCCTGTTTTCCCACCCTTTTTTGCACCCTTCAGGAACAAGCCAGACACTATTCAGCCAACTCAGGCTGACTGAAACCCTTGTCCCTGATGAGGATAGTGTTAATAGCTTCTCCACCCAGCTGGTGGGGGAACAGGGGACAAACATTTGCTCCAAGACATGGTAAGGTACATGTTTTATTTGTTTTAGTGATGAGAGAGGACTGACTAGTTTTACTCTGTAAATTCAGAAGAACCAGGGACAGGCAGGCAATGCTATATATTCATGGAGCCCCGCAGTGAGCCCTAAATGCTGGAAAGTAGCCAATGCAATGCAATTATTTAATGTAACAAAAAACTGAGGGATGACTCAGGAAATGGCAGGCTGCAGCTAGAGGACACAACAAAAGACAGTTACTCTGGTAAAACAGGCAGGATTTGCCAGACCCACTTACCCAAGGTCAACCTACTTTGCAGTGCGGTCATGTAGCAGAGCTCTTGGTACTGCCTGGA